TCCTCCAGGTTGGGGGTTCGACTGGAATTTGGGTTGTCGGGAAAAAAACGGTGGATGAGTAATCGATCTGAGTAAATGAGCCCCCACTTCGCTTCACCCGCTACCTTGCGGCTAGGTTCTTGTTAGAACTCAAGGCTTTAGTTGTAAACCCTAATCGTTATCCGGCTCAGTGGCTGGACACCCTAGCAGTACTCGTCAATCAAACCCCAATGCATACACCAATTACAAATAACTCTATACTGCATCGGTCGTCGCGCAGGATAATCAGGACCGCGCTGCCCATTGCATCGAGCGGGGTGGGTAGTGATAAGTGGGCTACTGCTCAGATATCCCAATCTTTGTTTAATTCTGTCTTCAGTACCCAGTCCTCTCCATTTTCCCCTTCTGCCTACCTGTAATAGTCCCTCAAGCAACTTGGATGTCGACCGCCAAAGGTCGTTGCCAAATAGCACTGTAAGTAATGTATCACGAAACGAATTGCAGATTTTAAAGCCTCGTCAATCACTGAATCTGGGGGCCTTCAACGTGAAGACACTGATGCAGGTAGGTCAACAAGCTTGTCTGGCTCGTACAATGGAATCCTTAGGAATCGATATTTGCTGCGTGTCGGAAACTCGGATCCAGGATCCTACTACTCTAAGCCACTTGAGCGAGCAAGATTTATTCTTCGCACATCAGGTGACGATGAAGCTCGTTCAGTAGGTCAGCGCGGGGTACGTATTGTACTCAGTAGCAGGGCGGAGTCCTCTCTTATCGATTGGATCCCTGTCAACAGTCGTCTCCAGGGTTCGATCAGCGTTCGGAAGGGAAGCAACACTAAAAGGTGTTTGTTCATCGTATCAGCATATCCACCGACCAATTGCAGTTCTGATGCCCAAAAGAACGCATTCTACGATGAACTCATCTATCTCATTCGGATGAGTCGAAGCTCCAACATAGTTGTACTTACAGGTGACTTCAATGCGCAGGTTGGAAAACTGAGCGCATTAGAAGCTTGCCTAGGCGGTAGTTGTGCTCTGCCCAGCCAACGAACAGATAACGGTGATGGACTTCTTCAGTTCTGTTCCTATCAAGCACCAACTCGACTGGAATTCGCGCTAAGGTCTTTAGGAATGCTGCAGGAGTAACTGATCTGAGTAAATGAGCCTCCACTTCGCTTCACCCGCTGCCTTGCGGCTAGGTTCTTGCCAGAACTAAAGACTTTTGTTGAGAATCCAAATCGTTCTCCTGCTTAGTGGCTGGACACCCTAGCAGTACTCGTCCATCAAATCCCAATACATATGCATTGCGATTTTGGCAGCGATCAGTAAAGTTCGCTTCTCTGTATTCCGCTGCACAATGACGATGATGAGCAGCGGCATTCGTTAAGAGTGCCTCCTCCCGCCGTTCCTGTTCGTCGTAGGCGAAATAGTGGAGGACGCCATTGGTGGTTTCCAAAACGCCAGTGTTGAATGGCAGCTGGAGAAAAGCCGTGCGATTTAGCAGTGGCGTTCTTGTGATTTTTTTTACTAGGCTAGAATGCTTGAAACGGCATGTATGCAGAGTTCGATTGTGCACTGTGTGTTGACCATAGTGGTTCACCTTCTTCTCCTTCCCTAAAAGTAGGTCCAATCCCTGTTTACCTTAAATTTTACCGCTAACGTTGTATGCATTGGGAGTTTAGCAGCGATCAGTGAATTTCGATTCACTATATTTCGTTGTACGATGAAGATGATGATGACGCACAGAGTACACAGTCCAACTGAGCACACATACCGTTTCAAACGTTCTAGTCTGATAAGAAGTAACGGCAAGATCGTCACTGCTATCGGTTAGTTGACATGGCCTTCGGTGTCTCCAACCCTCCAGCTGTGGAGTCTCTTGCACCCCAACCCGGGAGATGAGGCACCTACTCAACCTAATCGCTCTGTGCATTTCTTCGTGCCAAGTCTCCACGTCATCTGCTGGCCTCCAGATGAATTTATTCAGTCTGCAGCGGCCAGCGGTGCGATAGGTGACCGTTAGACATACGCAAAATGTGTCCTAGCCAACGGAGCCTATTGAGCTGAATTCGATGAGGTAGCGAGTTCGTGTTCGATGCATTCTCAGGCACCCGACGACTTACTTTTAAGTTACTAACCCGCTCACTCCATCCAACCTGGGCCGAACTACGCAAGCACCAATTGGCAATAGATGTCTTCTACCCGCGAACTTAACGTCTCACAACCGTAAAGCAGAACTGATCGTACGATGGCGCGGTATACGCGACTCTTCAACTTTAGTGAAACGTCCGATCGTTGGAAAAATCTCTGACCCGCTAGCAATCAATTCAGGTGTGCTCCAGGGAGCAATACTGACTCCCTGTCTTTTATCTTTCTAAATTCAAAACCTAACCACTGACCCAAATGATCTTCTTATGAAGTGTTTTGATGATGTCATCATGGGTTCCAAATTCCTAGGTGACTTCCGTTTCTCACAGCTTCTAACTAGTTTATCTACCTTAAGCTTATCGTCTTCCTATTCCAACTTATCTATCAATGGCTCCAAATATAGGGATATTGGCTTTTCACTAGTCAAAGCAGAACGGCTACATTACTATGAAAGGAATTCCTCTGTACTCTATGTTGACAACCAGTCTGCTTCCCCTGTACACTATCTGCAATACCTCGACGCTACCATCTGCCAAAATCTCACCTGGATCGCATTTAAACTCTAATTTCAGAAAGATTTGACGATTGTGTTTCTTTATTCCCCACTGGCAATCTTTAAAAGCTCCACTGTATTTACTCACCCTATTTGTATATTCTTGTGCTGTCACTCATCTTCTTCGCTGCCACCCAGTTTTATTTGCCGGTCTTAGAGTTAAAGACTAAGCAATTCTGCGTCAGTCTATGGAAATTATTTCGCCACAAACGGAATTCCCTATTTACATTTACGCAACTTTATCGCCGACAAACGTTTTAGTTCTTGCGAAAACTTTTGTAACAGTATCCTATCAGAAATCACCTACACACATAAATTAAACAATGCGTATCGACTTCTATAAATAGATGTCATCATAAACTTGTGTATACTCGTAATACTGCCCAAAGTTGTCCGTTATCCCATATCTTTCGAGACTTTTAGCACAGAAAGCATCCGTCAGAGCAAATTTTGTGAATTTACTGTACGAATTTCTGTGTGAACTTGTGTATGCATCGGGGTTTGATGGATGGGTACTGCTAGGGTGTTCAGGAGAAAGATTACGGTTATAAACCAAAGTCTTTAGTTCTAACAAGAACCTAACCGCAAAGCAGCGGGTAAAGCGAAGTGGAAGCCCATTTACTCAGATCGATTATTCCTCCAACATTTTTTACCGAACCTACACCCACCCTGGAGGATCAGAAGACTGAACTTCGTCTGACTTCTGCCGTACGACCTTCTAGGCATGATAAGATCTCCTGGCTTAACAAACTCCATCCAGTGTAGCTCTTTGGGTCAGAAAGGTGCACAAACAATCACACTAGGTCAAGGTGCAGTTTCGTAGTGATGATATCTATTTTCTCAAAGTTTTATGCCACANTTGATATATATATATATATATATATATATATATACAGCATAAAAAGGCACAATTCGCACCTAGATGAACAAACACTAACACACTCTGATTTCCAAACATTGACAAGAATTAGTCTTTAGGGAGATGGAAGTGGGCGACTAAACAGAACTCGGAATGATTACGCCAAACAAAAAAGTAAAGCCTTAGATTAAACTCCACACCTACTCATTCGATATGCATCCCCGATCGCGTGTAGTCCAGTGGCACATGCCGTATTTCCCGCCATACACGGTCCACGCAATCCCCAAAGGCGACTAATAACGCCAGCGGGCATGTTTGCCAAACTGCGAGTCAAAGCGTAGGGTCCGATGGATTTATAGACACCCTCAGAAATACCTTTGGCCGTATTCGCCACTTCGGAAACACCGTCTAAACCCGTACCGAAGTGGACACCTGAAATCAAACAGAGAAGCCAAGTGAATCGTAACAGTGAGTTTGGTGTTCTAATGCGACAGGAAAATCAGTTTATGCATATAAACATATATATTGTATTATATTATATATTACAATAAGTAGTATATGAATGACGACCAAATTTCCGTGGAAGCACACGACCGGTTTCACGATTCTTGCTGTCGTCAGGCAAGCGCATCCGGTAATCTTTTGTCTTTTCATTCACATACCTGTACTCAGGAAATGTATTTTCGTCACAATAATCTCATTTGCAGCACCGGGTAAATCTGTTTGGACACCTCTTTCAGAACCAGTTCATTGAAGAATCAATACTATGATTCGATGATTTGTAGGTGGGTTAGATGCTACTAACCACAACAACGGGTCTTAGGAGTCTTTGTTTTATATTTTACAATAAACAAGAACTGCGAAACCGGCAGTGTGATTTCAGGGAAATTTTTTCCAGTCATTCGTGTACCAATTATTGTAATATATATATATATATGTATGTATTTAGGTTTTTATTTAACAATTTGGTCTCCTCATTCCATCGTCCTCAACGGAGCTTGCCGTTGAACTAGCACGACACGCTGGGTTGGTCTTCCGAAATAGAGTTCTTAGGTCATGGCGTGAGCTCTCTCTCTTGTTGTGTCATATGATCCCTGAGTCAGAGTAACATGGCACTCTGAAGGAATAAATCATATGCGAAAGTGACAGGCGGATTTGTGATCCAGACAACTGCGCAATCAAACATGAGGAATAACTCTTCACGAAGGGACTTAACTACAACATCAGAGGTGCCGCAAGCAAGGAATACGTAGTGGAACTGAAACAAACTCCCGAATCATCTGTGATATCTGAGAACGTAAAACGAAGCAACTCTAAAGCGAAATGGAGAAAAACATCCAACATCCTGTCGAAACACGAGGGACAAGTAAGTTTAACATTAAAAACGAGCCAAAACATCTTCATGCTACCAGCTGATAATGAATGAGGTCAGGGAGCAAAACTGACAGTAACCAAGAGGCCTTTTTTATTACACACTTTCGTGTGATGAACAGCAGACGGGGTAAACCCCATAGTCATAAGGACCTGCTGTTCAGTGATGGAAACCGGTAACCTAAGCCCCGCCGGACTTGGACTGGTGAACCGCATAAGGCCCCGACACCTTTCGTAGAATCCACATAGACCCCACCAAAAACAAAATCAACTTTGCATTAAAACGACTGGAAAAAAAGCATGAAATAATCAAAGAAGCGTACTGGATAGTGAAAGCCAAAAATTCCTTTATCTTAAAATTTTAAGAACAGTTAAAGATAAGCATGAAAGGAATTAAACTGAGACCAACTGTCCCCGTCCCAGGAATGGCAAACATACGAGAACAAGGCATTGGAAATCGGTTCTCGTAGTCCGGGTGAGGTGGAATACAAGAGAACAATTATGCAAACGACCGAGACTGCTCGTGGTCGCAAACGGTAAATTTAGAAATGATCGAACACTGGCGTAGTATATGCGACCTTTCAGTTTCAACGAAACGTCACGTCCGCGATAAAGGTGTTTCAGTCCTGCGTAAGCAGCTTGAGCCTTAGCCATGCGGGCGGTTACTTCCCCGACTATCCTATCGTCATTTGTCACGCAACTAAACAAGTAGGAGAACACATTCAACCATAACTAAATTTTGACCATCAAGCATCATAAACGACAGCCAATCTTGCAGCATCACTTCGCACTTGGAAGGTTCAAAGCGCATTACCAAATGGAGTCACAAACTTTTTTTAGTACGTCAAGAGCACTGCGCATCCCCCGTAAATTCGAAACGACAAACGACTTCGTCAGTGTACTCTAAGTCGCACAGCTTTTTTCCAGCTGCCCACTTAATACTCAATTTTCGAAGACCACTTAGTGCATTCTCCAGCATTCCGTCTATGACAAAACTGGATAGGAATGGTGCAATAGGACACTCTTGACGAAAACAGCAACTGGTTTCGAACGATTGACTTGGCCCACCGTAGACCCTGACGCTTCCAGAAATACGCGCATGCGGTGATAGCAATAGGTTTACATAATTCTGAGGCATTCCTTTGCGAATTAGTAAATCCATTGGGGATTCACGGTCAACTGAATGCAAACGCTCCTTTTGGGTCAAGGAACACTGTGATTAGTGGTCGATAACGTGTGTGAAGTAATTCGAAACAAAGCGCAAATTTGATCGAAGCAAGCCGCCACCGTGTCGGAATCCTGCTTGCTGTTTGCGAATATTCATCTCCCAAAAGGTGTCAGGCGGGGAAGTATCACGGAAGTTAACACCTTGGTGATGATCGGAACTAAACTTATTTCACGGGAGTCAGCGCAGTTGTGATCCCTTCTTGACGATCGGTACGATCAACGTTTAAATCCAGGATAAAGGGATATGCCCTTCCAACAAAATGCTACGAAATAAACTAGTGATTCAGATAACCGTTTTGTAGGAAAGCATCACGAATGAAAGATAGTTCTGGGTTAATAGTGCCATCAGTGCTTATTTTTACTGCTTCATTTGCCAAACAGACTAAGATTTCTGCTTCTTCTGGGTGGCACAAAACTTCTGAACTGCAGCTAATGACCGCTCGACATCGGTTTTCTACAAATCTATTTCTGAATGGAACCATCTATGAGATGCTTTAACTAGCTGAAG